ATGTATTCTCGTGTTCGTTGTATATTAATTTTACAGCGATTAAAGTCCTTGATTTTGTACGGACCAGAATATTAAATTACCTATATAATTAAATGTTACGTAAGTTATACTTCTACAGTTTATTATATTAAATACATTACATTTATTCATTACGTTTTAAAATAACTTAATAAATAAAATATACTTTATTTTAAGAAATCGAGGTTTTAAGTTTTACCTCTATAAACGTTCAATTAATCTCAGTGAGTCAATTGAGCAATTTTGTTGCACCTTGCTACTTTATTGAAAAGTAAACGAAGGTAGAAGAAACCTGCAATTTCTCACTTTTAAAGCAAAACTACCACTACAAAGTGAACTTAGATTTTCATAAAACAACTGGCGCTAAGCAGGATTCGATAAGTTTAGCGAAGCGTTACGAACAGCACTGTTTGCTAGTTAATACATTCTAAGAATTTAATATTATTAAAATGCCACATACAGTAAAATCGACGAGAGAAAAACAACTTATACAAGAGTTAAATTTATTAGATATATTAAGCGAAATTAAATTAACTCTTACTTTCTTATCAATATAATAAAGGCAAAAATGAGTTTTTTGTTTATTTGTTTTGTACCTTTTGGCACTAATGTCTCAATCAATTGTCACTAAATTTGTATACTATTTGAGTTAAACAAGGTATATCCTTGTTATTTCTTATCCTTATCACGCAGACGAAGTCAGAGATAAATGCTGTTTGAAAATTAATCCCGAATATTAACGCTTCTTAAGTGAACGTGATGAACTCATAAAGAACCAGTTGTAAAATAAATTTTTATTTGTTTACATCCATCATATTTATCTTATTTATTTATAGGAATACAGCATATAGCATTATAACATATATAACAAACATTAAATACAATACAATATTAATGCACATGCCTTTTAAAGATATTCACAGCATTTGTTTTAACATAATCATACAGTATGAAATGAAGTAACTGTTACGGCTTGGCATTAGTGCATCTCACTCACACATCCAGAGTGTGTCTCCAGCTGCTACCATCGTTAATCTATTTTTAATTGAGCATTGCATTTCCGATCCGTTCCGTCCCACCGACTGTCCATTCACTTTCATGGTAGTAATTTTTTATTATTTCAACCCTGCAAACTTATGTATCTTACTGCCTAATAACATTGTCGTTTAGCCTACACTATATAAACAAAAGGAATCTCATGACACTTTATTTATTAAATCTATCAAGCCATATATAGTCTCTACGCGCGTATCCTATTCTGTAAAGACATAAGTTAATCAAGATGTATGGATGCAGGTTTATTACTCTTTCACGCGAAATCTACCGAATGAATATGAAATTTTATACACTTTAGGTTATATACTAACTTGACACATATTAAATATGTTAATTAATGCGGGCGAAACCGCGGAATAGAGTTGGTAATTACATAAAAACTAGTCCAGTCGGAACATGAATTTGTCAATCCACTCTCATGCTTATATTAATTGCCGGCATTTGGGCTGTATATAGGCAGTACTCACACATTCCACTAATTATGTTTATTTTGTGTATATTTCCTAAGCCTACAATTTAGGTACTACTGAAATAAGTCTCTCGTTCTGAGCCACATTTATTACTCTTGCCCGCAGTAACTACCGACATTTGTTTACTCAACAATCATCAATCGCAACAATAACTTAAATATTTTAAGTCCAAAAATTTTGCAACTATATTGCTTAATCGTCACTATAATAAATTTAATATAATTATATAATAAAACGAACACCATCCGCATAAATGTCCTTGGACAAAGATAAAGTTGACCTTTCTACAACATAAAGCAAGAAGAGAAGAAGCATCGCTAATTAAATATAACGTCAGCATTTAATTTGACGAAAGCATAACAGGGGCCACTCGTTCGTGAACGACCTATTTTTTTCCCCCCCACTATATCTGGAACAAAGGACCGATGCCGCTTCTCGGTATAATAATTTTAAGAAAACTGCCTGAGAGTTTCTTTTTTCATAAAATAACCGAGCGAAGAGCGGCGGGCATGCCGACTGCCGAAGGGAAATGCGGGCCCATAAAGTTGCAAATGAAGTAATATCGTACTCGGCTTGACTTACCGCTCAAAACTTAGCGGAAACAGCTCACACAGTCACCACAATAAGTTGGCTTCAATTTTCACTCACTATTTACACAGCGTCATTTAATTACGCTGTATAAATTGCTGGGGAGTTCCGGCACCTCGCTCTAAACTATGCTGTTGGCTCGCTCTTTAATTAATATTGACCATTCCCTCCAAATATCGTGGCTAAGAGAACTGAACTATTGAATCAGTCTTTGATTATAGCTAGGAAAACTAGTTTCTATCTTAAATCAAGAGGATACTCTTGTTTATGTACTTAGTTAAGTTATTCGATCCTACTGTACAATCGATTAGTTTTACAAGTTGTTATACGCCTAAAGAGCATGCAAAATTACAACTTAGAATTAATTTCTATTTATTTTTTTATAATACTTAAAATGGCAAACAAGTTAACGTAAACCAGCCTGATGGAAAGTGATAACTGTCGTATAGACATGTACAGCGCCATGGATGTCACAGAATACACTGTGTCGCCCATGAAACTCCTCATACGTGTCCATTGTTAAAGAGGAAGGTATTATACCTCCGAACCATGTAATTTTACTGCTCTATACCACCATATGATACAGGCCAAACACAGGTGAGTCTCTCTCTGCTATTTATTATAAGGCAATACATATAAATATAGTTAAATAAAAAACGATAGAAGAATAGTTCTATTTAAAATATCAAAATTCACTTTATACGTAGATATATTGTGACAGATTGCCGCCTCCAAATAATGAGAAAAATCCGGAAAGATAATAACGATATGATAAAAATTATGGACGTTTTATAGATTTCGTTCATTTCTAAATCCGGTTCGAGGAAAGGTATTATTAGAAATCATTAATACTACCAGCAATGTACGGCTTTATCCGCATAAATTTATATTGTTATTCCTTAACCTAGAATACGGTTCATTTATCAAATCTCTTTGTAATTCATCCAAACATTTAATGTTTTAACTACGAGTATATAGTATTTTATTTTGAATTTTGAATTATGTCTGAATATTATGTTTTGTTTCATTAACTGCCCCTTACGACATCTTAAAAATGAAACGAACTATTAAACAATTGTATTGTTATTCCATAACCATACGAATATAAATAGAATATTAAGTTCATTTAGAGATATTTATTAAATAATATAAATTTCCTGTACCTATTGATTTCCACGCTAGCCCTCCTATACATGGACAGAGGAGCGAATGGCAACAGACATGTTTATATAAACTCGACAACTAGAAGTACTAAACTATAACTCATATTCACACACGTAGCAAAAGGTATAATTAAATTTCGTTAATCGTTAAACAAATTCTCGTTAATAGCGAGTCAAGGATCACATCGAGTAGGGCTACTCAAATCTTACATAATTAGGGAAGAGCGGCGGCGATGGGGAATAAGGAAATTGCTCAAATGCCATAAATAATTTATAGGGATTCGAAGCTGCACAAGTTTTGAGAGCTCTTTGGTATTTCTCCAGCGAGACTTTCCCGGGGCAGTCTCTGCAAAAGCAATTATGTTGTCAGATACTTTATTTGGGATAATTTTGCGTAACAAAAGTTACAAACCTTTGTTATAAGTAATAATGTTTTATGATAAATGTTCTGTTTGTTTGGCACGAGTACATATATTAAAACATAAGTCTTGTGTATGGTACGCTCTGAATGCAGTCAAAAATTAAATTCTCATTATGTAAAACAGACAAAGGGCAGAATGTCGTATTGTTCTGCATGCTCGGAGTAAAATAAATTATCGCTGTCAAAGCAAGTTGGTACAATGTTTTTACTATAAGGTTTATTTAGGTATTCAAATCAGTTTGTACATTACAGAATCCTCTAGATAGACAACTCAAAAAGTATAGAAAACAAAAAATAATAAAACATGCTCTCGGCACTTATTAGGATACAGATAAGAAAATTGAAATTGTAAAATATGAATTTTCTGAATTGGCCCAACAGAAACTGGTTTTTTTTTTGAAAAATAAAATATATTACCGTTATCTTATGTATTCAAAGTAAGTGCCCGCAACTTCATTATATGTTGACTGGCAAGGATAAAAAGTATCCTCCTCCTCCTCCATCATTAATACTGCATGTATGCCAAATCTTAATACTAGTTCAATAAATAAACTCACTTTGACATTTAGAATATTAGTAAGGATTTATTACAAAGTACTGCAACCCCGTTGTATTTAAAAAAAAACCTCTTCATACATTAATTTCAACTCCAAGGTTTATAAATTAATATAATAGTAACATAAATTTATTTCTCAGTGGTCCAAAACAAACGAGGTTTGAAAACTGTAGTTGCAAATCTCCAGAGTTTCAAAACTTGCATTTTTGCTAGCACATTCTATCCAAGTGTAATAATAGTGAGTATAATGATTGCATTTACTGTTTTGTTTGTTGTATAATATTTAAACAGATTACTTTCACCAACAAGTTCGCTTTGTTTTATATATGATCATGAATAGTCCGTTTCACTCTGATTATCCATTTAATCATCCTTTACACAAGCAAATCCCTTATTAACAATAGTAAACCTGATTGTTTTCTTCAAAGAAACTTACATAAAAAAGAACAAACAACTTAGAGTCTCTCATACTCAATAGCTACGTCTAGATGTCACATTTATATAGTAAGAGGCTCCAAATCTTTTTCGTCTTAAATCAATATACCATATCTTTGGATAAAAATTAAGTTTCACTAATAGACCACTTCTTTAATAGAATATTCATAACTTCGATTTCACTCCGTATCGAGAGGTAAACAAATTCACATAGGTTGAGCAACTTGTACTAAGTTTAGCTAGTAACTATAATATTTGCATTTAACCTTTAATAAACTTAACATTATTGGCAGATGGTGAGCACGACGGGCTGACAGCGCTACTCGGGGCTGCCTCTCCAGACTTGGCGCTAGCATCTGATGCTTCTGACAGCCTTCCACTGCCAGACCCTGAGAATGGTTAGTGTAATTTGTAATCACTATACTCACTCTAAAATTAAGTCTTGTATTAAGTTTGAGAGATTAACACTAAGCTTGTTGCTAATTCATCTGAGCTAAACTTTGTTCTAGACTTACTACATACTAAACATATTTCTTGGATTTAATTTACTTGTTAGTTATGACAAAGAAAATAAAAATAGTTATTGTATAAGTTAAGTAATAAAATAATCCCTAATGGGATATTCAAAGGCATATGTCGACTGTTATCAATTTCGCCCAGTATATTTGCATCCCCGTACTGGTAGCGAACCTACCGCTATCACTCCATTTTATTTGGTATTCTCTTATATCCAATATTATCTTAATACTTCAAGATAACTCCAGTATCTTATCATATTAATGTAATAATGTAAACGTAATTATTACGTGCTATATAAAAATTCGTTTACAAAACACAAAAATAGTCATACTATGAAAGAGAACCCGCATATAGGGGTTCCCTTCGAATGGTTTTTGTAAAACTAGCAATTATAAGAAAAACATTGCCAGGAAACGTATCATAATATAGCATATGATCTATCGGTGTAACGAATTTCTATCAGTCAATATCATCTATTTGTTTGACCAATTTTAATTGAATTGATAAAATAATTTATTTAATTTTACATTACACATAATACTTATAGTTTTACTGTCTACTTTGTTTACGGTATAACAGTAAACGCAAATTGTATCATAGTGACCGTATTTCAGAAATATTATTATATATGGTAAGAACTTCTATGTAATAAATCAAAGTATCCTCCTAAAACGTCTCTACAGACCGAAGCATAGAGTGTTCTTGGACCGTGTGTTCCCTTTGACTTATTTGGTTTACATACCTGTATGAAATTAAAGCGTAAGGACCGAGTACGAGCACCGCCTTATAAATGAACGTTTCTTTGACAATATAAGTGAACGAAAATATAGTATTTTCTTTTCATATTTACGTTTGCATTAATATTTCTAGATATAAAGCAATTTATATTTTTTCTTCTTTATACAACTTCAAATGGCAGACAAATTGACGAGCCATTTGATAGTAAATGTCACCTATAGGTATTAAAACATCGAATACACTGTGACATCATAGGATGATGTAATAATATGTCTCCATGTCCAATAATTATATATTTAATAAATTAAACAAAAATAACTAAACATAATGCGTCATAATGTGCTCTTATTTAAATTGAAATATATTGTTTTATTATTATGATATTATTATCTTCTTACAGGATAACAAGAATGTATAACCATAATATTACTTATACAAAGACTATCAATTTGATATCATTCCGTTACTTCCTCTACATTCATATAATTTAATGTTTTTTTTTTATGTTTATGATATATTATACCTACTATCAGGAATGACAAACAGAACGCGCCATTCCTGAAAAGTTAGTAATTACTAAATTTTACAACATATTACTCTTTTCACCAATCTCATTTTCCACTTTGATAACATCAAAAAAACCTATTAGATTAGCAATTACCTATTTTGCTACAACCTGTGCTTACTAATTTGTCTGTATAATACATATTTACATGCATATTTAAAAGTAACGAATACGATTCCCAAATATTAATGCGAATAGGTTATCCGTGTCAACTCACCCCACTCAAACTTTAGAGATTGATGTATTTCGCGGAATGACATCTCCCCAAGTTCCCCGTTTTCCGCGATAAGGGTGAAACTTCACAGTTTTATGGCTGAAGAGACATGGAATATATAGAAATGTGTTACTTGAATCTTATGAAGTATGCCGAGCGCCGTGACTGTGTTACGTTCCGTGACATTGTTAGCAATACACGATACAGCGGTGTGAGGCAACTTTTCTGTGAATTTAAAACTTTTAAAGTTGTTAATAGTTATCATATGAATACGTGTTGCGCGAACAGCAAGGAATTCTGTAACTGTGTATCTAGTTTTATGACATGTTAATAAGGGTTTATTTTTTATTTTACATTGCATAATATATATATATATATATATATATATATATATATATATATATATATATATATATATATATATATATATATATATATATATATATACTAATAGATTTTACTCCTCAAAATACTAACGAATAACTCTCTTGGAAAAGACTTAAAACGGTCTTTCGGTTTGTAATAAACAATATATTTATTAATATAAGCATTAATTATCGTTAGTATTACTTGCTAGAAGGCAAGTACACATCAGAAGATGTGATTGACATTTTACATTTTCAACCGCTTTCAAAAAGAAGGATGTTCCCCAATCTGATGTATTTATTATTTTTTTGTATTTTTTGCCACAAATGAGGTTGGTTCTTTTTGTGGGACACAATCTTTAATTATATCTTATTATCTATTAATTTTAACTTTGTACATTATGTACGACATACTTCATGTCGTATGTGTATATTGTTAATCTGCTACACACACAAATTAACTTAGTGCAAAAAACATTTATGTCGCGTGCGCAAGTTGTTCATATTATTAAAATATGACATGTTGAGAATGTAATCCTATATTTTTAATACTTAACCGTACTAACCTATACCTAATATCTCACTACAGTGGACTGGTTCCTCTCCTTGAAAGGATGATATAGCTTTTTATTACCATGGTGTTTAGAAGGCTTACTATAAAGTTTTCTTTCTCTTGAAGCATTACATTGTACGTTGTTCATCGCCTCTTACGATCAATCTAAAACGAAAAGGAATGTTTATCTTCTTATTTTGTCCTATAGCGTACTATTTGATTCATAACCTTATCCGAACAAAGATGTTTAAAAAATATTATACATTCTTATTTACTATATATAATTAATCTTAATTCTTACTCAAACTTAATCAGAGTTCATTTATATTTCACTGTCTACGTCTCTACGTCTACGTCCTTTGTAAGTAAATGAAAAAAAAAGAAACAAATAATACAGTAAATGAAATTACACAGAGCAACGATTAATTCAAGATTTCGTTCCGTAAAAAAACAAAGTCTTCAATTGTGATAAAATTAATAGGACTACGTTTACGACCTGAGAATAAAACCCGCATGAAATATATATATATATATATAAAGCGAATTGAAAATGTTATATAATAGCTTATGTCTGCGACTTCAGCTGCGTACATTTTAATAAAAACAGCACAACTGATTACTTCTTTGTACCTTGAAAACATTATCGCTTCACGGAGCACACGTCCCACTAAAGAAAAATATTGTCATAGTCATACCTTTTAAACTATTTACCCAAATTACTTATTATGAAAAACAGAGATTATTGTTATTATGATACTTTATATAAAAAAAAGGATAAAAAATATTTATTTCTGTAAGAATTAATTTATAATAATATAAATGTGCATTTTAAATACAGTATTTATTTAATTGATGTTTTGCTATGTCACATTTTACTTATAATATATTAGCGTCTACATAAAATATAATATATTGCATACGCTGACATTTTTTTTAACTTTAACTTTATTTTCGACATTATTAGTTCTTAATTGACAAGGTTTTTCGTCGACAAACTTGTTACGATCAATTTACACATCTTTGTTTATTATAGCCTATATGCTATTTTGATGTATAAGCAATAACTTGTTAATAAAAAATATCCTTTTTTAAATCGCTTAAAAATAATCTTTCTCTTAAATATACAATAAAAATCGGAGAAATTTCGATTTTAGTATATTTATAATATGTTATAAATGATAGAAATTCGTAAATAAATAAGGTGAGTACCAACTTGGTTTTAACGATATTTAGGGACTTAAATATATTTTAGTTTAACCTTGTTGTCGTATAGATATGATCTGTAGGTTTGTTTTTAATACCAAAAATATGAAAACTAAGATGAAACAAAGCCGCACTGCATCATTCGTTACAGTGCGACTTTGCTTCAACTGTGAGTTTTTATACTGTCAAATCTTAATAAACACTATTGATCTACCCCATTACAGATCTTTAACATACTTTAGGACTACTATATCTCTTTTTCTTTTTTACCATGGAATTATCCTTAATAGAAACCGAGTTATCTACCAGACTCCTACCACCTAAAACCCCATACCTGTCTATTTACCAGGTGTAATGCTGAGTCATACCATATCAGCAGTTAATTGTCCACTAGTGAACATAGGCTTCCTCCTTTTAGGCGGTTTTGCCTGTAGTTACCAGGCTTGACAAGCGGATTGGCGACCATAGTTAGATTTTGGTGACATTTTAAGAGGGATGCTGCTGCCTATGCCTAACAATTAAATCCCCTTAATTGTCTCTTACGACACCCACGGAAAGGGTAGGGGTGGCCCAGTCTCTGCTGGTACCACACGCCGAGTCATGCCAGAGATAAATCAATAATACTCTTATATACAAGGTAGTAATCGGCCTAAATACATGTTCCCTTAACTACGTCTTACTGATACACCTAAGCTTTAAATAATTACCTCTTTGGTCGACTTATTGCTTATTAAAATCCATCTATACTCTATGTATTTTCATACATATAAATAAAGAACCTTTAGTACTTAATCTCTTTGTAGGTATTACTGATCTAGCTGGTAAATTGCAAGTCAGCATTTTCATTAAATTAATTATTTTAAACAAAAATTGAAGCACTCAAATTCTCTTACATTTTTAAATGACCTTAAGTCCCAAAAGGATAGTACGGTTTGTTTGTCCGTTGATACGCAATCTCGAGTGGTGTTTACAAATGGCAACTAGGTACGAGCGGAAGAGATCCCTCTTCCGACTCATGTTTGTCATGTGCATCCAGTTTCAAAGGGAGTTTATTTTGACTAAGACATTAGACACACTTGCGCTTAGAGCTATGTGTACAGTTAACATACAGAGGACGGGCAATTTAATCATTTTATAATAGATATTTTATTATATGCATTACAGGAAGTCAATTTTATTTGTCAAGATTGGTTCAATAATTGCGGTACCAACCCGCTTGCCAAGCGTGGCAACTTTTGGCA